TTCTTTCTTATCTATGACCTCTCTTCTCTCCCTGGAGCCCTCTTCCTCCTTCTTCAAGTTAACCTTTTACTCTTTCTCCTGAAATCCTAACATGCTGGACCATAGTTCAGATGAAGAGAGATTTTTTAAAAACTCAATATTCATATGCTGTTGTTGTTGTTATTTGCCGTCGAGTCGGCCCCGACTCATAGTGACCCCTCCTTGGGTTTCCGAGGCAGTATCACTACGGAAGTAGGATTGCCCAACCTTCCTTCCGAGGAGTGGCAATATTCATATAGGAGCAAAAAATAGCATATTTTTTTTCCCAGAATCCAACCCCACACTACTCCTTTAGAGGTAACTCTTTATCCAGATTTACATCAGCCCTCCTTTTCTGATTAGGAGCTCTGGTTTCTGATTAATCTTTCCTTACTATTTGGAGTTATGCCATTCTCTCAGTGTCCTGCATTTCTCATCTTCAGGCCTCTGCTACTATGTGAAATCTCTACCAGGAGAGGGGGGCCTTTAGCTTTTTTTCAGAGAAGGCGAGGCGAAGCAAAGCTGTCATTTCTTAAGCTAGAGCTTTTCTTTCACCCTTGTGTGTGTGAAATATTCACAGCTCTTTAGCTGTAGGTTACAGAGAGGAAAACAAAAACAACAGCTGATTTCCCTTTCACTGAGAATTTTCCCTATTCCTGCCTTGCTCTAGTGTCAGATCCCACCATTGCCAGAAGTCTCATTCTATTCCTTTTTCTTCACCTGCCTGCCCACACTTTGGTATCTTTATGGCAAGCTCCCACTCCCCCTCCTTTGCAGCCCTAGGATTATTATGGGGACTATGATTGTTTTCTTTTGCTCAGGAAGTGTGTGTATGTGTGTATGTGTATGTGTGTGTCTGTGAGCTTGAAAGGCATTGTCCTATAGATATTTTTATAACCTGAAGCAATTACAGCTGTCAGCACAGAGACAAGCTGTGACAAGTTGATTTATGTGTACAGCATGTGTATATGCAAGAGGGAAGGGAGGAAGGAGCAGTAGACAGGGGGAAAAAGGGGGAAGAAGGTAGAGGTGGGTGCTCATTAGGAATCTGCCTTCCAGGAGGCAGAAAGGAAGTTTTTCTGTAAAGAACACAAATAATGAAATTGCTCTGACTGTCATCCCTTTTTCATTAACTCAGCTATGTGGGGAAAAGGAAAATAAACCCAGAAGTTTTTATGAAGCAAGAGACAGGATATAAAATAAGCCACTAATTGTTGGATATATTTAAAGATTAGGAGGTGGGAAGGGAGTTGACATGATTTTGATCTTCATCTATTTGCCTACTTCAACAGCAAGCTTGAATAGAGACAATTGTGTCTTGTTAATTATGTGGGCCTCTCTGACCTTTGATCACTTTCTAAACTTTCATTTTTGAATAAATGTGGCTCCCTGGGCCCACAAAGCAAGTTGGGTTGCAAGTGGCTTTTCTTCTCCACCTTCTGAGTTACCTATGCTCTGCTAGTTTTTCTGTTGGTAACTGCTGTGATGCTACACTCAGCTTTCTGTCTTCACGGCCAGAGACAAAGACAGTTTAACTGTCTCAGAGCAACTGCAGTCAGACTGGTACAAGCTGAACATCTTAAAGAGCCCGTAAGGAGAATTATTTTTCTGCCCAGCCATAATAACAAAGCAGTGGTAGACAAAATGTATTAATAAAGCATCTTCTATCTTAAATGGATTTCTAAGTATTTTACTGTAGATTTAATCATGTATGTAGGCCCCTCGGGAAGGCCTGTTGTCATTATCCACATTCCTAGATGCAAAAACTAATGCTCATTTGTACCTACCTGGGAATTAAATGCAAGGACCAGAATAAGAATTTATCATGGAAGTAATCATCCCTGCCGTTCTCAGGACTGTAGTGAAATGAAATCAAAGCTCAGAATGAGTCCTCCTTCCTTTCCCTATAACTCACATTTATTTCTCCTTGGCTTTTGGGAAAGAACACCAAATTCAGTAGAATGAGAGTCAACAAACATAATCTCATGTTTTATGTCTGCTTTCACTCAGCATCGTAGATCTTTTATTGTAAAGTCATTTGATTTCCTATTCTGCAACTTCCCCATTTTAAAGTAGAGATAATATGGGGTTTAGTAAGAATAGAGGAGCTCTGGTGGCGTAATGGTTAGGGCATTCAACTGCTAACCAAATGATAGGTGGTTCAATCCCTTCAGCCACTCTATGGGAGAAAGATGAGGCAATCTGCTTCCACAAAGTTTTGCACCCTTGCAAAACCTATGGGGCAGTTCTACTCTGACCTAAATTGATGGCATTAAGTTTAGTTTTGGTAACAATAGAATGATGGTAAAATAAGTTATTTTTCTTCCTTTCCTTTCCAAAACATAAACAAAACTGTGCTGTTCCATATAGATATTATTTTTTTAAAATTGTAAATTTGTTTTAACCATAAGTTGACAATTGATTTTTGTTTTGTCTTGATGCTATAGATCAAATGATCCCCAGTGGGCAAAAGTAGCAAGTTGGTTTCACTTAGCATTTAATATCAGGAAAAGTTACCAGAGGAGACAAGGGAAAAGTGACTTACTGATTAATTAATGCAAAGTAGTTTGAAAAAGTTGCTCAAATTTTCCTGGTTGACCACATTCTGTGCAATTACTAAAATGGAAAAGGAGGCCTGATCAGCCCATGTTACCCTAGTTATTGGCTTCCATATTCAGTGACAGTGAGTTTACCTTGGTTCTAGTTCTCTAAAGTAATAGTGTGATGGAGCAGGGGGCAAGAAGGGAGTAGATAGGTTAGATTTTTTTTGAATGGGTTGACTAAATATATATGTGATTGTTACTACTGGCAAGGTATGAGAACTTTCATGGCACCAGCCCTTAAAATTTGAGCTAATCTCTTTGGTACTGAAATGGCATTGGGGAAAAATCTTTGTCTTTAACAGTCGTTAGGGGTAGGGGTGGGGGAGAAGAAATACCTTGGTTGAATGCCACAGAAAATCTAAGGGAAAGAATGAAGTCAGCTGCCTCCTCTCTAGCCTCAGGAAGAAATAGGTTGGTATTAGAAGCTCAGTACCAGGAGTCGCTGAGAAGAGAGCTTCTACCATAACACAACTGTGCTGGTTGGGCTGCCTTGTGCATCTCCTGCACAGGGGCCAGGCCCAGGAAGGCGAAGGCACTGCCTTCATCAGAGCTAAAGTTCACTTAAAAAGAACAATGCAGGTACAGAGGTACTCACAACAGTGGAGAGGGGAAGTGACAGGGATCAAGGCTGAGGCAACTCTGGTTTACCCTGGGTTTCAAGAATTCAAAAGCACACTATTTAAAAATGAAATAAACTATGCAAGAATGCGAAAGCCAGGAAAATTTGGGAGTTCGCTGAAGAAATCATGCAAGTGGCTCACACTCATCTACCCCAGTGAGCACTCTTGCAAGGCTAGCATCTTTTCATGTTTTCAAACTCAAGAATAAAGAAGGTAAGTCAGTCGTGAAATTTAAGCAAAATTTGAGTGTGATTTTGCCGGTTTCACACGCTAAGATGCTGCTGTGATTTTGCATGTTTTATATGTGGAATCTCTTTAGAATGGTGTAGGCTCAGTCTCTGGTGATTTTGTGAGAGTCTGTTAGGGTAGGTGTTGCTCTACTGAATACAAATGTGATTATTCTAAAACATCCTTCCAACACCTGAGTTTACTCTAAATGCTAATGGACTCTATATAATCATTTAAAAAGTGCATGCTGCAGGGGTTTTCTTTCCTGGTTAATTAGTTTGTAACCCTTATTAAGGTGTCTCGGGTCTATTAAGAATGTAGGGTAACTTCTTTTTAATTTAGAAGTGACAGCTCTTCCAGAGAGGGAAATGGTTAAGCCCTGGATGGGCTCTGGCGCGGCGGGGGTTAAGTGCGAGCTCGGTGCTCAGCTCTCACACGAGGAGGTTCCGGTGCTATGTCGGCATGGGGCGCGCTCACTCCAGTGTCCGCGTCGGAAGAGTGTGGTGGTCAGTGATGGAGCTGCTACCATGACAACCCTGGAAGTCTGTGCCAGTGCGAGGCGGGGATGCTCCTGGGAGGAAGGTGGCTCTGAGCCCAGGGGCCGCTGCTGAGTTGGGCATCCCTGGTGCGGTCGCCCGTCACCGCTGCATCTCGCCCTGAGAGCCGGGAAGGAACCGCGCAGGGGCCCGCGCTCAGATCGTCTACCACCAGCGGCCCCTCTTCGCCGCGCCTCGCAAAGGTCTGGCAGTGTTACGCGGCGGATTGTGTACGGGTGGCGAGTACGCCCTTGTGTCGGGTGCACATTGGTGTCCAGGAAGTGGCCGAGGCAGAGGCGGCAGGATCTGGTACCGGATTGCAGGCAGTCTCTGCTTGGCGTCGCCCTTTCCTCCGTGCGCACCCTCTCGGTTCCTGAGTGGTGTACTTTCTCTGGTATTGTGACCGATTTGTTCCTGGCGGAGAGCCTGCCTTCGAAACTTACAAAGAAAGTGTTCGTTTTTCGCCCTCGTTGAAACTGAGAAATCGCAGACCACCTCTGGGCAGCTGAATTAAACCCACCCCTTTTCTTTTCTTGGTACCAAAGTGTTTACTCCTCTCCAAAGTGCCATGCCTCAACTATTAAAGGGAAGAACCGGCTCCTAAAACGTGCCCACACCTTTGCACCTGCCTTCCGTTCCCCGTGATCTGCACCTTCCGCCACGAGGCATCACCGAGTGGCCCGTTTGGATGTCGTCCGTAGAAACTGGCTCGCCGAGGCTGGGGAGCTGAGGCTGGATTCGGGGGAGGAATAATCGACTTGGAGGCATTTCCGCGCTTTCCTCCTCCCTGCTCCTCGCGGTTGCCACTAGCGCGAAGTCCAGCTCCTCCCCACCTTACTTCACCCCACTTCCTGTGTTCGCTGGGCCTTGTACCGTGCTGCCACTGAGTTCTGGGAAGTTGTGTCTGTCAAGGATGGGGGTCTGTGGGTACCTGTTCCTGCCCTGGAAGTGCCTCGTGGTCGTGTCTCTCAGGCTGCTGTTCCTTGTACCCACAGGAGTGCCAGTGCGTAGCGGAGATGCCACGTTCCCCAAAGCTATGGACAACGTGACAGTCCGGCAAGGGGAGAGCGCCACCCTCAGGTAGGGAGCTACCATTCATCTGTGAACTGGGGATGATTTGTATGAAGGGGTGTGGTTAGGGGCAAGGGTTCATGCCTGTGAACTGGAGCGTTCCAGGCTGGCGGAGATGTTGCTTGTTCCCAAAGCTTTAAGGCTTAGGAATGTGCTGGTATTTTATCCTGGGAATGTGACACTCATAGGGAACTGATCATCCCCAGAACAGGCCTTCTTGGCTCAGGGAATTTGGTAAGGGTGAGAGATAGCAAGGCCAAAGAGTCATTGAGAGTAAAGTGGCCAGCACTGTCAGTGCCAACCAGGCTTGTGGCTGTGATAGCTGGGCGCCTGCCCGGGGCTCTGCATGGAAAGTCTTCTCAGAAGTTAATGAGCCCCAAAGGAAAAGTCTGGCTTGGTCCAAATGCTCTCACTCTGTTCATACCATTGTGCATTGCCAACCTGGGCCTCTGTAGGCCTGGCAGCCTGGCATAGCCATTGCTTTGTCCTGGGTCTGGCTGTGTCTGGATTCTCTTGGGGGGCCTAGATGTCATGAGCTGGTGGGCAGAGGGGGTGCTTTTTTCTGTCTAAAAGTGGATTTCTGATGCTGAAGTTATGGAGACGAGGCTGATTTGTCCATGGAAAATAGCACTTTGTCTGTGCTGGATTCCTGGTGTCCACTAAAGCAATAGTGCAATGCTCATCAACTGAATGGAAACTAAATGTTGGTCCTGTGTTGGGTCCTGACTGGCTTCTGGTATTCAGGCTTCCAGAAGCTGGGAGAGAGGAAGAGAAGAATCTTGACTACGCTTTGTATAAGGTGGAGCAATTCCACCTCCCTGATTACCCTTCCTACAGAAAAGCTAAATCAATTTTCAGTGTCTACAAACTGCACTACTCACATAAGAACAACACAGAATAAATGATTGCCATGGGAAATTATACTCTCTGGGAGGTTATGAAGGAGTAAGTATGAAGTAGATGTTAACTACAAACATATTCATGTGACGAACTAAACCCATGCCTCTCTTTGACTGATAATTCTTTCTTAAATAAAGTTTTCCAAACTGGACAATTGAACTAACCATAGGCAACATTCCCATCCTGTTGCTGGTGTCCAGTGTCTTGATCCCTGATAAATGTTGTTAAGTCTTAGACCAGGTTGCTTGTAGGTGATATACTAAGGCAATACCCACAGAGTAGAAAATGAGGTAAGGGACATTGTCAATACAAAGCTGAATTGCCAAGAAATTGCCAAGAAAGAATGTGATGCAAAGCAGCACTGCAACCTATAACATCTTGTCTTAGGGGAGTTAACCCTCAAGGCCTCAGGGAATTCTTATTTACTAGGTGGTTTACAAAATCATGTCCTCCACTGAGCTCTTTAGAAACTGTTTTAAACAAAGGTTAAATATACTATGATTACTATTTACTGCATCTGGTTTATAAAGGGATTTCAGGGGACCTCCAAATATTCAGTTATTTCAAACTAGTTAAGGATAAAACACATAGGAACTGTTAAAACAATGCAGTCAATGAAATTTAGTGGTTCTCTGAACGTACTTTTGTCTCTACCCCTTGGCAAGAAGGAGCCCAAAGGGGATGAAATGGAGGTATTCTCTTATGGAGAACTGTTTAAAGACAAATGGAACTATTTTTTTTTTTTTCCCAAGGAAGAGGTAAAAGGTAGTCAGCTCTGTGGAGATCTGGAGAACAAGAAACAATAAGAGGGCCTGACTCACAGTCCCTTCCACATTATAGGAAGAATGAAAAGATTGGAGAGGCAAGGGTCTGGTTTACAGAAGGCAGCCCCCAGAGCTCACAGTAATCAGAACTGTCCAGAGAGTGGCTGAATTCAGCAAACAGTGGCTATGAGCAGCTTCCTTTAAAATTGTGTAGCATGTCCTGGCTGGCCTCTTCTTTCTTTTTCTTTCCTTTCATGGCTCTTTTTTTTTTCCCTTTGTGGGTCCCTTTCCTTATTTCTTGCAAGCACTAATATATGTTTGCATTTTTACATTTGGTGGCACAGTGGGTAAGACTGTTAACCAAAAGATTTTGAACCCATCAGCTGCTCTGCGGGAGAAAGATGAAGCAGTCTGCTTTTAAAGATTTACAGCCTTGGAAACCCTATGAGGGCAGTTCTACTCTGTCATATAGGGTCTCTGTGAGTCAGAATCAACTCGATAATAATAGGTTCTTTTTTTTTTTCCTAGCCACTTTGGACTTGTGAATGGAGAAGGATATGGGGTGTGTGTGTGTGGGGGGTTTCTCTCTAGACCCTGGAACTAGCTCCAGCCTCAGGGCTGAATGCCTTCCCCACTCACAATGGATGAGGCCGCACAGGGCAGTAGTCAAGTGGACTAGGATATGACCAATACCAGCCATTTGCTATAAGCCTGGTTTAGGGTATGAATGAGCACGAGATCTATGAGTCAGCCTGTGCAGGAGACACACATGGCCCTGGGAGCTTAATCTTGTTCTTTTTCAAATTCAATGCTTGGCACTAATAAGGGCTGCCTTGCACAGTAAAAGCCCCATGAACTCTTAAATACAGGCTCTCTGTTTTGTGCTCCTGTGTGCAGGGAAGCAAGTTACAAGTACAGGATGCTTTTTTGTTTTGTTTTCATAAAATTTGCTAGATTTACTTTTAATATGATTCCAGAGAATTATTCAATTTTGCAATAATCTAGTAATTTAAGGTTCAAGGTAATTTTATTTTTACTTTTTATTGTCAGCAGAGAGGTTGTGTCTCTTATTCTTCTTCCTTCCCTCCTCCTTCTCCTCCATCTCCTTTGCTAAGCATATGGCTAAAGTACATAGCACCACAATGGTGGCTTGTCCTGCCTGGAGGGCGAGCCTATCCACATTTCTGATGATGGAGATGCTTGCAATTTTCTTCATGACCAGCAGAGGACTTTTTGCTCTAATTTCATTTTATTTGGCTTTGTTCTCACCAGTTTTATTTTTTGAGATTTTTTTTTTTTTTCACTAATTCCCAAAGAATAAATGCTTCAGCAGCAGATTCTAATGTGAGGACTTTTTTTTAAAATTGTGATTTGGGTGAAAGTTTACAGTGCAAATTCACTTTCCATACAGCAGCTCACAAACACTTTGTCTCATGACAATGACTACAATTTACCACAATGCAACAGTTCCCCTCCCACTTCCTCCCCATAGTTACCTCTTCCCAGTGTCCTTCCCTCCATGTACTCTTGCCCCTGAGCTATCTCCCTGTGCATACACAGTTCTTCTGTTCTCCCATGATTGTTCTCTCCAAGGAGTGTATCTACCTAGTGTAAATGTTCACCTCATATGCCTCTCTTTTGTTTGGCTAAAAGTCACAGGAGTGGGTTAAGTTTCAGACCTGAAGGGAAGCTAGGGGCCATAGTTTCAGTGGTTCTAATGTGAGGGAAAATTTTAAGATATTTTATTCATTCAGTTAGCTCTAATGATCCTTGTGGAAGTATCTGAAACCTTTTGCCTATCATGGCATTGACAACATAAAGAGAATTGTAAATAATTTGAAATCTCCCACTCATCTTGCCATCCTGATGATATTCTAGTAAACAGAAGGTACAGTAAAACTATTAAGCAATGTTAATATTAAGTGCTCACTACGTAGTGCCTAGGGCACTTGACTGTAAACCAGAAGGCTGGTGGTTCAAGCCCACCAGCCACTCCTTAAAAGGAAGGTTGGGCAATCTCTATAGTGATACCACCTCAGAAACCCAAGGAGAGGGCACTATGAGTCAGGTCTGACTTGACAGCACATGACAACAAAAACAACAACATATGTTAGAAAGTATCATAAATATTTTATAAAATATCTAACCATCATTCTACCTTATAACTTTAACATTTAACCCTAACTTTACTCAAATAATAACACTATGATGTAGGTGTAATTACTCTCCCATTTTACAGACGAGGAATTTGAGGCATGGAAAGTTTAAATCATTTTACTAAAATTGTACAGCAAAGAAATTGTGAAGCCAGATTATAAAGCAATAGTTAAAATAATGGTAGAAAAATAAATATTTCTATCAATTATTGGTCATCACTGTATTAATTATTTAATATACATAATTTAATCATCACAACAACTCCCTGAAATAGATACAGTTATCCTCGTTTTATAGATGAAGAAACTCAGGCACAGAAAGGAGAACTTACCTATAATCACACATAAAGTAAGTAACAGAACTGGGATTCTGACTCAGGACGTTGCTGTTTGTCTTTGTGCATCAAGCTTTCCTGTGACTGCTCAGGACCTATTGAATTCTATGTTCCCCTAGTTCATTGGTGATGCATAATGCCTCTCCTACTCATTTTAGCTTAGACTCTGTCTTGCAATGTTGTTTAGCTCTCGTTCCTCTTTCTCCACATGAATTGGAGAGCAGCTCTTGGAAAGCAGGAGTCATGATTTATAATACCAGGAGCACTATGTGCTCACAAATTTTTATTGAAAAGATGAGATGAATGAGAACAAAACAGAAATATTCTCCAGCCTATCATAAATTATCTCATCATCACGTTTCAGTATCATTTTATTTCAAAATACACGTATGGTCAACCAATAAAGATGTATGGAGTGGTTCTTACTTGAAAGGAACTGAGCTGAATTTGGGGATCTGAAAAGGCAGGAGGGGTGAATTTTACGCTCAAGGAATTTGTCTCCAACTCAAAAGGCTAAGCTTATAGACAAAAGATAGTTAATAGTATGAGGCAAAATATGCCTATTAGCCAATGGGTAGTAGTGTTTCCTGTGTTCAGAGGAGAGTCCCCCTCTCTTAGAGCCATGGTGTAGGCATAACTGGACTGAGCTAGTCAGAGAAGCAGGAAGGCAGTGGTGTGGAGCTCCTCTACGCGGCATGAAAGCATCTCTTGGTAATCTTGATGAATGTACTTTATGCTTTCATAGATTTTCCAAATAAGCAGTCCACCAATAGAATGAATTATTTCCCTGGAATCATCAGGTGAAGTGAGTGTCAGAAGCTAAGTTCTACTTTTTGTCATATATCTATACATTA